ACTTGATGAGATGGATGGCTGCCGTATTTATCTCAATTCACGGTACGAATTGGTTGACAGAGAAGTCAAGTTGCGTGGGATGCATAACTGTAATAATTTATGAATGTGAATTGAGTTATTTTTGTTTTCAAGTAGAAAATACTAATAATATATATTTGCATCAAGCTTTTGTCCTCAACACAGCTTCGTAGAAATGCTACATTATCAAGTTGCAGCTTTCTTTTGTTTCCGTGTAGGAATTTCCTGCTTAGCTTTTCAATGTCTTCACAGATCTCTTGAGGAAGTAAAATAGAGTGCATGTGATGTTTTGGAATGGATGAATAAGGAAGATACTGAATCCCATTACTTTTTCTTCCCTATAGATCCCTCTTGCAATGGAGTGAAGACATAGAACAATTAAATATGCATTCCCAATGAATATTTAAATATTCATTGTCAATTTATAATAAGATTGTTGGCTATCCCCAAAAAGAAAATCATACTCCATCCAGTTTATAATACAATATCTTTTAAAATTATTAAACTCAAATTACAAAATACAATGAATACATAAATTTATGAATCAAATTATCAAATTTGACCATTTAAAATAGTAGAAGTGAAGAGGGATAAATGGGAAAAAAATTATAATTATCGTTTTGAATTTTTAAAAATACTTTGTAGCATAAAAAATTGGGAAAATTCTCAAAAAGATTTGACTACAAATTTATTAGCCTATAAGGACTTGGAATTCGAAGAAGGACTTTGATCTTGGGGCGTCAATAGATGAAATGAGCAAAAGACTTAAATGCCTTTAACCAAATCCCATCCCTCTCTCAACTGTCTTGCACCCATGCAATTTCTGGCTTCGCTCAGCTGTAGCTTTGCAATTCTGACAAAGACAGTGGCAGCCACAAAGGGAAAAATTGAGGTCTTGGTTTTGAACCCTAGGTTCAACCATGCGATGCTAATTTCTGGTTCAAATTTGATAAAGTTTTATAATGTGTAAAGTGACTAAGTCTGTGTTGTTACTTGACTATTAGTTGTTAGTTTGATTTTTCATTTCATTCCCTTTTTAAATTGTTTGGAGCGTGTTTTAAAGATTCATTTTGTGTCATATTATTTACGTCTAACAGCAAGAAGGTTTTGGTATTTTAATTGTCTTACTCAATTGGCAGTTGGGCCGTCGGGGACATGCTGGTGATACGGCAAGTACACTGTTAGAGCTTCTGGACCCAGAGAAAATGATAAATTTCTACATCACTATCTTAATGTTCTGGTTGATCTATCAAAGGTTTAGTATGTGATGATTTGGAGCGTGAGTATTGAGGTTATAGAAGATTCAACATTTGCGCGTGGTTTTACTTGTCTATTTATTGATATTTAAAAGGGATTCAGGTATTACTGATGATGAGAATTTGGGCATATTGCAAATGTTTTGACCATAATGACTCATGCATTCAAAAACTCACTGCGAGTTCTCTTTGTTCGTACTGCAAATGTAGTGGAAATGATACCTAACCTTTGGTAGATAGAATGGAGGTGGCTGCAATTGCCAGATACATTACTAATGAGAAAAAGCACATTGCAAGAGATTATTTGGAGAAGACTGCATGTGAAGCATGTGGAATGAAACCTAAACAAGAGATTACTTACACAGAGGAAAGCAATTTTCCTAATCTGAAGTTTTAACTTTATTTGTTTTTTTTTTTAAATATCTTCTTATTCATGCAATCCTTTATATGGTAATTTGAGTGATAAAGTTGAGTGGAATCCTGTGCTACGGTTTTTGTGAAGTGATTCATGCTACAGTGCATAAGAGTGATAATTCTAAAATTTAGATTGATGCAGTATTTTTTATAGAAATAGCTTGTACAAAAAAAAAAATCAATTTTGAACTTAATAGTATATGTTTTACAAGATTTTTGTTTTTTTTTGGCAATTAATGGACTAAATTAGAGAGTTAGGGGTAATGGTAATAAAGGATATGCATGTTAACTTAGGTAACATTAGATTGGTTTTGTTTTGAATCTTATTGCAAAATTCTCCTCCCTGGCATGTATGCACATTCATGTGATGGTTCTCATTCATGTATGTTGTGGGTTGTGACAAGTTTGCTTAACATTGTTGTAACTTTGATGGAAAAGAGAGAAAGGGAGCTTTAAGGCTATCTAACTTCACCAATAAGTTACGCGGTTGAAAAATAAGATGTAATACGTTGCATGAATGAATTGTACATAAAAAATTATCTCTAAAATATAATAGCTTGTATTAAATGGCAACTTATATTTTATTTTGATGTTTTGAGAGTTAAGATTCATAAATTGTAATTGCTACAAAATTCAAATGAGATATAAAAGCTTGTATCAATTTAGTATTAATAAACTTATTTATCAATTTATAGCTTGTATCTCTCTTCAATATTTTTCCATGCTTAATCTTCTAAGGACATGTATTTTTCAAAATATCCATAAGTTTTTTCATAAAAATGAGGAAAGGAAATTTTCAAACTAGCCATTTATTTTTAAAATATTTATAAGTGTTCTCATAAAAAATAAGTAAATTTTCATATTTAATTGCTACAAAATCCAAATGAGATGTAAAAACTTGTATCAATTTAGTATTAATAAACTTATTTATCAATTTATAGCTTGTATCTCTCTTCAATATTTTTTCATGTTTAATCTTCTAAGGACATGTATTTTTCAAAATATCAATAAATCTTTTCATAAAAAATGAGAAAATTTTCAAACAAACCATTTATATTTCTAAATTATTCATAGTGTTTCATAAAAAAATAAGAAAATTTTCATAATAATCATTTGCATTTTAAGAATATCAATAGGCATTTTCATAAAAATGAGTAAATTTTTAAAATAATCATTTGTATGTTTAGAATATCCTTTGATGTCTTTATGAAAAAAAGGAAACTATTTAAAATATGCATTTGCAATATTAAAATAACAACATATAGTGTCCATCTAAGTTAGAAATTTTTAGAATATCAAAAAATGTTATTTGAATGAATGGAAGATTTCTTGCATATAATTGAAGTTTAAATGCATATAGTAAAAGAATCAATGCATATGACTGAAGGCCCTTACTTCTAGTATTTCAGAATGCTTCTAAGTTAAAAAATTTTAGAATATCAAAGTTGTTATTTGAATTAATGAAAGTTTTTTTTTTGACATATAATTGAAGTTCAAATGCAATATAATGAAAGAATCATGGCATGATTAAAGACTCTTGCTTTTAGTATTTTGGAATTCTTCTAAGTTAAGAATTTTCAAAATATTAGAAGTTGTTATTGATGAATGAATGAATTTTTTCGTATATAATTGAAGTTCAAATGCATATATAGTAAGAAGAATGTTGTATTGATGAAGACCTTACTTCTAGTACTTTAGGATGTTTCTAAGTTAAGAATTTTCATAATATTAAAAATTATTATTTAAATAAATGAAAGTTTTCTTATATATAATTGAAGTTCAAAAACATATAGTGAAATAATTGCTATATATGACTAAAAATCAATATTTTTAGTTATTTTAGAATGCTCATAAGTTAAAAATTTCATATATATCAAAAACTATTATTTAAATAAATAAAGTTTTTTTATATATAATTAAAATTTAAATGCATATAAGAATGAATCACTGCATTTGACTCAAGATCCTTGCTTCACGTATTTCAAATTGACATATTGACATTAAAGGACTTATATTAAATATTGATATGAAATTATTGATAATAATAGACTTGTGATATATTGATAATGAAGGATCATGTGAAATATTAACAGCAAAATATCTTATTTAACTTTTTTTTTAAATCGGTTATGAGCATTTTTGCCATTTAGCCTTCAGCAATTATTGCCAAACCTCAATGCTAATCTCTCCTGCTTCATTTTCAATAATTAATTTGATGGTGAAGTCTTTTATAATAATTTTCCTCAAAAAATTTTCTAAGAAGATCCATACGAAGGAGAAGATTGATTTTTCCCCCCTTCCCGGGGGGGTGGGGCTTCATAGGTGATCGAGGTAGTCCCGAGAACCACGTGTGGACGTTAATGCTGGTAACTGATGCCAGCGAGGGTCTCTCAAAACATTCACAATCATCATCGATCTTAATTTTTTAAATCTTAATTCCTTCGCTTCCCTTGATGTTGTGCGTTACTTGTGCGAGTTTGTGTCTCGTTGTGTAGCGGGTAACGCTGGAATGAAGTCAACCATTGTATAGACTCTCTCCGTCCTGTGCCGCTTGGTCCTTTCCCTCTCTTCAGGCCGCCCAAGTGAACCACTCCAACGCCACTGGACCTGCATAATTCACACTCGAATCTGCATCTCCTGCCACCTCCTTAACTTCTGATTTACTCTCACTCCGATTCTGCGAGCTTCAGCTTCAGCTTTCAGCTTCCCACAGTCCGACACGCGGAGATTCAACAACGGAGCGAAGATTGTCCATGTTAGGGTTTTAGAGGATCCAATTTCAACATTCTCCCTCGCATGGAATTCGAGAAAGGGAAATTGAGGTATCCCTGCTTGAACTAGTGTTGGAACTGTTTTCGGAGGATATCCACCGATTCTCTGGGTTGTTGCTTCGTTTATTCTTGAATTCGGGAGGGGACAAGGGTCGTGTTGGGATCCCAGGGGATTCAAATTTCTTTCTACGTAGCTGAAGTCAATGAAATTTTGAGATCATTGATTCAGTGGCTGTTATTATATTTGAATGATAATAAAAGAGTGAGCAATGCTGTCATTACTATGATTTTGACTTAGTTGAGCTGTGGCATCGTATGGAAAGGCACAGCTTTCTTAAGGTTTTGTTTCTAAATTACCTTTAAGCAGGTAGTCATTTGAAATTTAAAGCTCGATGCTTCCTCAATCAACTCCACGATGAATCTAACAAAGTTCGTCAATTATTTGATGATGATGATGATGATCAATGTCGGCATTTATTATTCTCGGTATTTGTGAACATTTTGATGCTGGACGTGTCCCGTGTTTTTAAAATTTAATTTATAGGTTCTTCTCGAATGGCAAAGATCATAAGGAACCACTGTGGCGAGGAACTGAACTATCAGCACTGGAAAAGCCATCATCTGGATTCAATGTTTCGTCGGCTTCCTCGCTAAAGCAAGACAGTGCACTGACGTGGGGGGAAAATAGGTGGTTAAAACATTTAAAGTTGGGGGATCTAAGGTATTTCCGGAGGAGCCGGAGCCGTGGCGCAAAAGGATACTGGATCCCTCTAGTGATATTGTGTTGAAATGGAACCGGGTTCTTTATAGTTTCTTGCTTGATGGCTCTTTTGTAGACCCGTTGTATCTCTACTTGCCCAGCGTGAGAAGACATGCAGGGTCTTCATGTGTAAGGACCGACCTAAACTTACGGATTGCTGTGACCTTTTTAAGGACTGTCACAGACATTTTTATCTATTACACTTGATAATTAAGTTCCGGACTGCATATGTGGCGCCTAGTTCACGAGTATTTGGCAGGGGGGAACTTGTCACGGACCCAAGAAAAATTGCAGGAGAGAGATATCAGATCCGATTTCTTCATTGATTTTATTGCTACTCTGCCTCTTCCCCAGGTATAGTCTTATATTTAATATAAATCTCCTATAAACGTATCTGGCAATTTTGATTTATGGAGCATAATGATTTGGCAGAACCAGTCACTTCAGAAAATAAATGAGGTTTCTTAGTCAGTTAGTTGTAGAGATGTCACATATCCCCAGTTCAACGGGATGAGTAAAGTTGTGAAACATATCAAACCTTATCCATTCCTTATTTTACGGAACTTATTGGGAATGAATTGAGCTTGCCACTCTGCACAGTGAAACTTTCAATTGTTTCTATATGCTGTATATTTTATTTTCCGAGTTAGTTTGAGATGGCATCTTTTGTATGGTATTAGTTACCTTATTATTCAAATGATTTTCCTAAAGTGTATTTTTCATCTATTTCTGTGTGCTATGCTTTACACAGTTACACTACTGGAGCATCTAAGTTGTTTCAGAAATCTTTTGCCATGTGAGACACGCATCCTAGCTGATGACAATTTTCTTTTTCAGATGCTCATTTGGTTATTATACCAGCAACAAGAAGCCCTCTTGCTGATCAGAATAATAATTATCCCCAGTTCAACGGGATGAGTAAAGTTCAAACATATCAAACCTTATCCATTCCTTATTTTTACGGAACTACTGTTGGGAATGAATTGAGCTTGCCACTCTGCACAGTGAAACTTTCATCTGTTTCTATATGCTGTATAATTTTTATTTTCCGAGTTAGTTTGAATGGCATCTTTGTATGGTATAGTTACCTTATTATTCAAATGATTTTCCTAAAGTGTATTTTTCATCTATTTCTGTGTGCTATGCTTTACACAGTTACACTACTGGAGCATCTATTTTTCATCTATTTCTGTGTGCTATGCTTTACACAGTTTACACTACTGGAGCATCTAAGTGTTTCAGAAATCTTTTGCCATGTGAGACACGCATCCTAGCTGATGACAATTTCTTTTTCAGATGCTCATTTGGTTTATTATACCAGCAACAAGAAGCCCTCTTGCTGATCAGAATAATAATGCTCTGGCATTGATTGTTCTGCTCCAATATGTTCCAAGGTTATATTTGATCTTTCCACTAAGTTCAGAAATAATCAAAGCAACTGGAGTGGTTACCAAGACTGCATGGGCAGGAGCCGCATATAATCTGCTGTTGTATATGCTGGCCAGTCATGTATGAATTTTGGCAACTACTTTGTACTTCATTGCAGCTCATATAATTATATGGCGTAGTTTTAAATTTCTGCCTCACCAAATGTATGTCTTTATTTTTGTTGCAGGTTTCGGGAGCAGCATGGTATCTTCTATCAGTGGACCGGTATACCTATTGTTGGAAATCTTTTTGCAAAAAGGAATTTAGTCCTAAAGATTGCTTTCTTTACCTGGACTGTGATTCTCTTAACCTTGAGCACCGCAACATATGGGCAAAGAATACAAGTGTGTTTAACAACTGCAATCCCAGAAACAATGATTTTGAGTTTGGCATATTCGAATCTGCAGTGTCAAAACATGTTGTCTCCACAAACTTCATCTCAAAGTACTTCTATTGTTTATGGTGGGGTTTGCAGCAACTCAGGTATGGATTCATATTTCCATTCCAACACAAATGGAAAATAATTTTATAAATGTTGCATTTCAATAATTGGTTCTTCATGTCTTGATGCTTGGCATTTTACATGTCGCATTTTCTAAGCGAGTCCACAGGCAGCAGTGGCACTTGTTTATTCATATTATATTTAAATTTAATAAATGCAATGTTATTTGAATTGACCAATGCCACATTACGTGCTAGTCATTACTTCCTCAACCCCTCTGAAATAGAAAAAATAGAAATGAAAAAAATACTAGAACTCACTTATTCTTGTTTTTGTAAATTTTTATGCAAATGGACTTCTATCTCAAATGACAGATTTGGGACCAATATGAAATCAAATAGTTTACATTTGTATCTCCCATGGAATGTTTCATTGTGAGTGGTTGGAAGGTCTGTCAATGATGCAGAAGGCTTTTTACTTTTATAATTGACATCAATAATATATTAGACTTGCAGAATTGCTGCCTTTGTTGGAATACCTTGTAGTAGTGGTGAAGGGTCTTCTGATTTATAGCAAGATAGTGAGAATAAATAGGATTGTTATTGGATCAGTTGCCCAAGAGATGTTTGCTAAAGGGCATAAAAAAGAAGGGAACATGTTTCACATTTATGTTCGTATTGGGATGTACTAACCTTATTGAGTGAATGGTATCAATTCATCAATGTTGCTGCTATTATACAATGGATAAGAATATCTTCAACTGTAAAATGCTGACTCTGGATATCAGAATACGAAACTGAACCTGTCCATGGTAGGGAAATGGTAGATATCTACTAATTATCAAAACAGGTTATTGAAAGTAAATGTTTGTTGTTAAAAGATTATGATTCTTTTAGTCCTTTTGGTTATATTTCAGTTCTTATGGGCAGAACTTGGAGACGAGCACTTTTATGGGCGAGACATCATTTTCTATTCTGATTGCCATCCTGGGTCTTGTGCTGTTTTCCCATTTGATTGGGAACATGCAGGTATTTGAGATTTTTTTTTTTTAAAGATCCTTTATGTATTCTAATTACTACCCAAACCATGTGAAAATTCAATACAATATGTTTGATTCCCAATTTTTTTTTAAAAAAGTTCACTTTTTGGCACCTGATGGTTAAAATGTGTTTGCTTCTTTGTTATTCCTGACTAAGCCAGTGTCCTATCTTTTCGCAATCTCATTGGCTTTCTGATTTTTACTATGTGATCTGCATAATCTTGTGTACCTGAGGACAAGTAGGCCGTTAGACTGGTGTATTTAGAATAGTTAGCTAAATTCTTATATCGTAACAGTAACATGTACTTATCATTAATAGTTTGGCTATGTCTGTGGTTATTTCTTTGGTATAGACATATTTGCAATCAACCACCATAAGGCTCGAGGAGTGGAGGCTCAAGCGAAGAGACACTGAAGAGTGGATGAGACATCGCCAGCTCCCTGAAGATTTGAGACGACGTGTTCGACGATTTGTTCAGTACAAGTGGCTTGCAACTCGAGGAGTTGATGAAGAAACAATTCTACGTGGATTACCTGCTGATCTTCGCCGTGATATCCAACGCCACCTATTCTTAGACCTTGTTCGACGAGTATGATTTCTGCTATCTAAGATGTATTTTACTCTCATTTCTTACCAATTGTCATGGTCCATCCAAATTTTTAGTATATGAGGGTTCCTGAGATTGTGGCCGAGCTATTCCAGATGGTATTTGAAAAACCTTTGCTTATGCCTATGTGCATAAATTTTTTTTTCATCCAAAGCATAATTGATCTTCAGCTATCTGTGGGTTTCCAGTTTTCTTACTGCTGGCATTTCATGGTAACTGACAACCAGAGCTCTGTGATGTTCTTGGCTGTTCAATTGTTACTTTCAACACTTGATGATTCGAATGAGCAGTTTGGCTTAAATGGTTCTAATATAACAACTTACCTATCCCTTTTAATTTTCAGGTTCCCTTCTTCTCACAGATGGATGATCAACTACTAGACGCAATATGTGAGCGGCTGGAGTCCTTTTTGAGCACTCAAGGCACCTTCATTGTTCGGGAGGGAGACCCTGTGACAGAAATGCTCTTTATCGTCAGAGGTAGATTAGATAGTTCTACTACAAATGGTGGTCGGAGTGGATTCTTCAATTCAATCATATTGAGACCTGGAGATTTTTGTGGTGAGGAACTACTTGCTTGGGCCCTGCTTCCAAAATCGACCGTGAACCTGCCTTCTTCAACCAGGACCCTTAAATCACTTACTGAGGTTGAAGCTTTTGCTCTTCGAGCTGAAGATCTCAAGTTTGTGGCGAATCAATTTAGGCGCCTCCACAGCAAGAAGCTGCAGCACACCTTCCGGTTTTATTCCCATCATTGGAGGACTTGGGCAGCCTGCTTCATACAGGCTGCATGGCATCGATATAAGAAAAGGATGTCTGCCAAAGATCTTGCTTTCAGGGAATCCTTCACCATGGATGAGAATGTGGCCGATGAGAGAGAACCTGAGGATGAATGTCCTGCCGATTCAGATTCTTCTCGGGCTAAATTGAACCTTGGCGTCACATTACTTGCGTCAAGGTTTGCTGCAAACACAAGAAGGGGAGCTCTAAAGATTAAAGATGACATGCCAAAATTGCAAAAACCTGAAGAACCTGACTTTACTGTTGAAGCTGATGATGACTAGCTTACTAAGTCTATACAGAAGCACACTGCCACCGTTTCCCTAGGATAATGATTCCTAGTTCATATGTACCCTGCTTAGCCTTTTTACAGCTTTGAAATTGAATCATCAGTCTTGATTGCTGATATTTGTAGATATGTCTTGAATTTAGGGAAGCAGGTAAATGGGCAGTCTGACTTGGCGGGTCTTCGTCAATTTATTTTGCTGGTGCATGATTGAACACTAACATGTATGATCTAATCTTCATCAGCATGCTGAGTCGTTGTGCAAAGTCTGTAGATTTTTAATGGCAGGCTGAGTAGACACAGGAGGGAACGCGATAACTTCCTTCCCTGCATTTCTCGTCTATTTTTGGATCTCATCTACTGACCTCCTAGAAGATTTTTAATACTTAACTATTGAGCCCAGTGTTAAGAGAAATTAGTGGATTTGCTCGACAGAATTGATTAAAAAACGAGTAGTATATTCCAAACGTCTCACAAGACACAGATGAGTGTTAGTCTCTGAAAACACGTCAAATGTTTTTATGTGGTCGTAGTATTAATTCATAGTGTTGCAGTCTTAACAAAAGTCCCCACCTTGAAGACACGGTGGGATATTAGAATCGATCTTATATTCTCGACCGAAATTCCTAGAATTATTTGGTTTGCTCAAATAATAATCAAAATGGAATACCAAATACCAATTATGTTCTTGATCCTATCAATCAAACCTAAAAGACATAAACCTTTAAAAAGGTGTCATGATTTGTATTTCATTTATGATTTATACTAATAATAATTAATAATAAGAATTAAAAAATGAATAAGAATTATACTAACAATAATAATCATCAATTCATCATAATCGAATAATAGCTCTGCGATTCCTTACAATGCAATGATCTCGTTAAGGATCATTAGGTCGGTCTTCATATAAGCAACCAATCTCAACATTATTTACATAAAATTTTCTGCTTTTTTTTTTTCAGAACAATTATCTACAACTTTTTTTTTTTTGGAACATTTGATGGTTATTAATGCAACAAGGATGTGCAACATGATCGATTTTATGATCAATCCCTGGGGGAGATGTTCCTTTTCCTTTCTCAGTACCATTGTTATAAATGAAAAACGAACCAAAGTAACCAAGAAAAAAGTATCAAAATGATGAAGCACGCTTGCTCTACAGCATTATTTACAAGCCTAAATCAAAGAGCATATCTTTTTGCAAACTCACGTGTCATATCACCAGGTTTTCTTTTTCATGGTCAATACTTGTCGAAGTCATAAAATTCTATGTTCTTGTACTTCTGGGATATAATCTCAGCTTGAACTTTTCTTGCTGTGTCTGTGGCACAACCAACAAGAATAAGAATAGATGTTCCAGCAAATCCCCGAAATGCAGTCAGGTGTGTAACCTGCTCCACAACAGCTGGTCCGGCAGCTAAAATCGCCAGAAATGTTGAACCGAGAACTGATATTCGACTAAGAACCTGTACCACACATATAATAAAAGAATGCAAAAAGATGTTCCCCCAAAAAATGAAAAATGAATCTCACTGGGCTGACGTTAACACTAGCACTTCAAGTCAAAACTTAGATAGGCACTCCATCAACTCCATAACATTATCTTCTGATGCATGGAAGTAATATGCCGCAAGGAACAAGATTAAAGTATACGTGAATTTGTTTACTGATCATATCCTTAATTCCACAGGCCATGCATTTATTAGCAGAAGGTTGTTATTCACTCGTCTTTTTAAATTCAATGACATAATATTCATTCAATATTTATAGAAAAACAGCTACAAAATTAGCAGTTGGCAGCCAGGACAAATGCAAAAGCTTTGATCAGTGATTGCTTCAACTTCGACGTGCAACTTGATATGATTATTATTATAAAAGTAGAATAGGATGTATTGTTCCCTTATTATTCATTATAACAACCACCATAAGCTTTACCCCACTAGGTGAGGTCGATTATATAGATTATTGTGACTAGTTATTTTTTCTACTTTCCAAGTATTTACATGGGAGTTGATGCTAAGTTAAAAGGAAAAATGGGAATCACATGTAGGATGGGATTGTACGGAGATTTTGGTTAATGAGGTGTTATTACTTAGAAGGCAATCGTGTTTTTATATCAGTTTAGTTTAAACTTTAAACACAAACTCCAACTAGTTTACATCAACAGTATACAAACTTGAAACTTAACGGCATACTAGGGCACATTTCTTTCAAAATAATTTAAGAAGTGAAACAGAGAAATCTATCAGTAAAGTGATAATGGAATGTGAAACTAGAAAAGGCAGAAAGTTACTGTTTTGATAAAGATGGCTGTGGTTCTGCCAGGACGGACAAGTGGAATTGATGCACCTTGACGTTTCAATTGTTCACTCAAATCATCAGGGTCCAGTTGTAGGAAAGTGTAATAATAGTTGAAGAATGCTATTAGAAGGATGTTCATTGGCAGATAAAAGGAACCTGCAAGTGAATATCCAGTCAAATATTAGGGCAACAGTCAACTTGATGCCAACAGCAGGCTTGTCCTTGATACGTCTATATATCCTAATTAGTATATTTTTTACTTTCAAAATCTCTGCTTGATAATGCACTAAACGCCAGTTCTGTATGTTGGTAAGAGCCAAAAGATATAAGCACCACATACCCCCAGGATTCAAAGAAAGTGCAGCTTTCTTCAGAGCATTTATGCCAGTGAAACGTGCCAGAGTACCAGGAAGGGCTAATGATGACGTAGAAAATATGATGGGCATCACTCCAGAACTATTCACCTGCCAATCAAAAAGGTACAAATAAGACAATCCAAATGACTTAGCTTAGCTCTCTCTGAGTAAAAGATTTATAATTTGGAGCATAAATATGATTACCCCGGAACAAGTTTCATGAATAATAAAATATATTAGATGATAGATAATTAGATAATTAGAGTTATGGGACTCAACAAGATAAAAAAGGCTGGGAAAAGAGGAAAACCTTAAAGGGTAGGTAAGCAGATTTATCAAGTCCTCTGCTTCTGCTTGTGTATCTTGAAGCATAGTTAAGAGGAATCTTTCTCTCTGCTTCCTGAAAACCCATATTTGAGATCAATGGCAAAAATTTATTTACTATCTTGAAGTACATAATATCTAACAATATAACTAATATTTACCTGAACATAAACAATACCAAGCACCAACAAAAAGAAGGACACGATCAAGGTGGTGAGCCCAACGTAGTTAGCATCATTAAATGCTTGTACAAATGTCCTTCCAAATGAGGCAGGCAAGTAGGAGATAATGTTTGTGAATATCAAAAGCGACGTGCCATTCCCAAGTTTTAGGTCTGAAATTCGCTCACCAATGTATGTTGTAAATACAGATCCAAGAGTCAATAAGATAACAGAAGACAGAACCCATTGTGCACTGAAGTCATTGACATAAGGACGTAGGTAGAGTACTTGACCAATTGCCTGTAAAGAAAATAAAAGGAAGCATGTCAAGATAAAATAGGAAAGCTGGGCTAAACGAGGTACTGACAAAACAATTATGTTCTTGTCCTACGAGATTCACCATAGCATATAAGGGAACAACTATTGAAGTCTAAACCATCAAAGGAAAAAAAAAAAAAAAGATCCTCAGTATATCTTCTAACATTTCACTATGCTATTTTACCCCATTTACAAATTCACATAATCCTTGTGCACTTGTTTTTTAAGTCATGTCATAATTAGCAGAAATCAAGAGTCATTCTCTCCAGTATAGTCCTGATAATTTTCCTTTGGATGATCACAAGTGTCCTATTCACATTTTTTATATACCAAGGAATTTTTGTTGGAATGCATTTGGTTATTTGTTTATGATGAAACAAAGGTCTGACTTTGGCCTATAAATTTTATATCATAAGTTCCTGACCTGTACAATAGCGAATCCAACTGAGGCATATCGCGTGTATTGAAGAACTTTCTTTCTTCCTGACTCACCTTCTCTTTTTTGAAGATCTTGCAGCTTGGGATATATTTGTGCAAGAAGTTGAAACACAATCTGTGCATTAATGAAGGGGACAATACCAAGAGAGCATATCCCAAGTCTGCCAATACCACCTCCAGAAAATGAGTCCAGCGTGCTTAATAAACTGTTCTGGTCCAAATTGCCAACAAAAGCATCCCTATTAACCCCACCCAGTGGTATGTATACGCCGAGCCTTGAAATGCAAGAAGCCCTAAAAGCTTAAGAAACTTTCCTGGCAATGGACCTTTGAAGAAGTCTCCGAAATCAATAGAACTATCCTCTATTGCAGCTGCCAATAACAAAATGTGCTGATTACTTTGTAAAAGATATAAACTTGAACACAAATGCAACATAATTAAAGATTAAAGTCAAGAAAGAAACCTGCTACACCTCGAGAAGAGTTAGGTTTATCCTTCTCAGTACTTGAAGAACTCTGAAATGTTTGTGAAAACAAGCATACCAAATTTTCCCAAGAAGAATTGAGAGCAGAAGATAAATCCGAGTTAATACCCAAGGGATCAAAATTTGCTGCCTCATTGCTGCACAAACTCAAGAGTCAGCAAGAGCGCATTAAAATTGCTATAACGAATCAAAACAAGGCCATAAAAATTTCAAGGTTGCTATCTGATATTAACATCAGTCCCCTGACCAAATTAAAAGATAAAGAGAGTCTCCCCCTTACCAAACATTAGCCATAAAATTCAACTCAACGCAGTATTACAGGTCCAAGGAGAATTTTCCTTGATATTGTTAACATTTTAAAGTGACTTATGGGCAGCTGAATATCGTGAAAAAAAAAAAAAATTAGTTTCCGAAATATGTGTCCAGTTTGTATTGGTTCACTTTACCATACTGAAGCAGACATGTTTAATTGAAAATTAATGACCACATGCTCAGTCTCTCTACCCCCGCGGACACATTTTGCTAAACTGCTACTTTGGATAAGAGCTAAATTTGAGTCATGTTTCATACCAACCACTCAAATTTGCACAGTTGGTGACTCAACCACCCTTTACAAGCTCGTCTCTTACAGAGATCCATTCAATTTAGCAAAATCAATTGGCTCGAGCTCAATTTCAGCGTATAACAAGACATTAAAACCAAGGGAAAGAAAAACTGGCACACTGGAACGGAACCTTCACTCTCCAGCTTAATCGAATCAAAGACCCAGTTAATTAGTTAAGTGGATAATATTAACACCCATTTCGAAA